GAGAAGGTAGAAATGACTCAGCCTGGAACTGAAAATATAGATGGAGGACAACAGAGCTGCTTCATGGAAGAAGAACCTCAGCTTAGCCTGTTAGCCTTTGCGCTGGCGCCCATGAACTCTAAAAAACACTTTAAACTGTATAAGTGAGAGCCGGGCCCAGATGGAGCTTGTTTGAATTTTTTTTCTAGCCATGTCCCACCAGTCCTTTTCCATTTGGAGACGCATCTCACGTTCCCAAGCTGTTTATTGTTTTAGTGATAAATGAAGAATCAGAGGACAGCATTTGATTATAAACCTTGGAAATAAAGGATTTTTAAAGGGGATCATATAATAAAAAAATTTCCCACTGCAGAGAGTGTGGTTTGAGTGGGAAGCCTGGAAACAAATCTATAGCACAATGTCTAATCTGAAAGTATCGAAATAGCTGAGAGGTCGTGAGATGAAATTCTGATGATAAGGCCGTATAACAACGAAAGATTCCATCTTTGTAAAGATCATCAAAGCTGATAAGTCCATTATTATCCCATGACGAAAAAGTTTGATCAGAGCATGCTGGTTGAAGCAGATGATTATTCAGCAATGGAGCTAATGTGGATGTTGAATTAAATTTATAATGCCTCCTATATTGATACCAAACTTTTAATTCTGAACGTACTATTTGATTGTTTACTGCGCCAAGGAGTTTATGTGAGATGTGGGAAGTAACAAGTGCATTTAAAGAGGGAAATAAACATGAATGCATCTCTAATTCACAGGATCTAAACCAAAATGAAATTTTGTGAATATTTGCTGCCCAATAATATAATAGAAAATCTGGGAGTGACAATCCCCCATTGAATTTACATTTTTGAAGTGTGGACTTACAAATCCTAGGTGGTTTTCCTTGCCAAAAAAAAATCCAGAAATAATTTGATCAATTGTTTTAAAGAATTGTTTAGGCAAAAAGAGAGGAAAAGTATTGAACAAAAATAAAAGTATTGGTAAGATATTTATCTTAATTGCATTGATCCTGCCAGTTAATGAAAGAGGCAAACTACTCCAACTTTGGAGGTCTGATTTAATATGTGAAATCAAAGGCAGGAAATTGGCTTCAAAAAGAGAACCAAATAATCTTGTTATATTTATTCCCAGCTACTTAAAGCCAGAGGGGCTCCATTTAAATGGAATGTCAGATGGAGAGAGCAGTAATGCCGCTGAGTTAATAGGGAAGCATTCACTTTTGGCTATATTAACTTTGTAGCCTGAAAATATAAGTAAGCAAAATAGATGGAATAGAATTGACTGGATCTGAAACGTATAACAACAAATCATCAGCGTAAAGTGATAATTTAAATTCAGTACCTAAGCGAAAGACTCCAAAAAAAGGTTGGAGTCTTAAAGAAATTGACAGAGGCTCAATGGCTAATGCGAAAAGTAAGCGCGACAGTGGACACCCCTGTCTTGTACCCTGAAAAAGTCTAAAAAAACTAGACTGAATGCCATTGGAAGAAATACTAGCATGAGGGGATGTATAAAAAAGACGTACCCAAGAACTAAATATCTCTCCAAATCCAAATTTCCTTAAAACAACAAATAAGTAGTTCCATTCAACTCTGTCAAAAGCTTTCTCAGCGTCAACTGAGATCACCACTTCAGGTGTTTCTGTAGAGGTTTTAAAATGAATAATATTCAAAAGAGTATGAATATTGAAGAACAGTTGTCTCCCCTTAACAAATCCGGTTTGCTCATGTGAAACAATAGATGGTACAGCACTCTCTAACCGGCGTGCCATAGCTTTAGCAAGTATCTTAGCATCCACATTTATCAAGGAGATGGGTCTATACAAACTACATAAATTTGGATTCTTGTCTTTTTTTAACAATAAAATAATTGCAGCTTGTGTTAAAGTATTAGGAAGACTACCCTGTTGAAGTGATTCCTTATAAACTGCATGCAATAAAGGTAGGAGCTTTTCTTGAAATTTTTTTAAAAATTCAACTGGGAATCCATCTGGTCCTGGGGCTTTATTGCTTTGCATAGTTCTTAAAGCAATACTTAATTCTTGTACTGTTAATGGGGAGTCAAGCTCCTTAGCAACCTCTGAATTCAACTTGGGGAAATTAAGACCATCAAGAAATGTGTACATTTCACTGGAGTCAGCAGGAGATTCTGATTCATATAAAGAAGAATAAAATTGAGTGAAAACCGTATTAATGGATGTAGAATCTTGCTGTAATGTTCCTGATGCATCAGTTATCTGAAGAATCAATTGTGAAGCTGCCCGACGGCGAAGATGATGGGCTAAAAGTCGGCTCACCTTATCACCATGTTCATAATAAGTGGAACGACTACGTAAAATAAGTCTCTCAGCATCACTAGAAGTAATAAGATCGAATTGTCTGTAAATCAACACGTTGTCTAATTAAACTCGGCGATGAAGAAATAGCTATGTCTTGGTCCAGAATAGAAATATTGGCAGCCAGTTCTGAAATTTTTGCTTTACGCAATTTATTGACGTGCTGAATATGAACTTATTTGGCCTTGCAAAAATGCTTTGAGAGATTCCCATAATAGAGAATGTGAAATTGGATCTTTCTCAGTCAAATTTAAAGAGATACATTCATCAATCTTGTGCATGTGCCACTACTTTCAACAAATAAAACAAACCCCAGAGCACTATCCATTCAGAGTGGAGCAGGTCGGGTCTTAAAGCCAGCAGTCTGCAGGAGCAGTGCAGCCGCAGCGGGCGGTCAGTGAGTGAAATAGGGGTGGGCGACACTGGCAATTTTGGTATCGATCCAGTACCAAATAAATACTGTGGTAGAATCACTTATTTCGATACAGATTCCGATACTGGGGGGGGAATAGAGAAAGATTGATTGATTCCGTCATCCATCCATTTATTTTCTTCCRCCTATCCGGGGTCGGGTCGCGGGGGCAGCAGCTTCAGAAGGGAGGCCCAGACCTCCCTCTCCCCAGCCACTTCTTCCAGCTCCTCC